GTAATCGTGACTAGTCGACTAATCGTGGCAGCCCTACTAGCCAATAAGTTCCACTGCTAGCAGGGTTAGCTTACATTTGCACACTGTTCAATACAAAGTACTGAAAGCAGTGAAACATCACTTATAATGTCTATAAAGAATTTTCCTTTTGATGTAATCATCAGAAAGGCTGGACCATGATTATTAATTCCCATCTTAAAAGTTGAAGCCTCAAACTTTCTTTTTACTTCAATACGGACCTTTCGTATGCAGAAATATTTTTCTGCCAGTCACAGTTATAAGTTACACACTTATGAACCTCATACAAATCCCAATTTAATCCCCGCTTATAGCAACAAAAACACATATGATGTTTGATCAACTGAGAAAGTGCTGTGTCTCCAGGTTAACAGTGAGGATATCATTCAAAGACATTTTAAAATTGGAACCAGAGGCGCCTTCACTTTCATAACTTGAATGACAGCGGCTTGGCAAGATATTAAAAAGAAAAAACAACTCCCATCACATTTGGAGTAAATCCAGACTGATGAACAAGTTCACTATATGAGATTTTATAACTGACCCAGGGAGGAAAGCTTGGAGAAAACTTTACATTTCTACCCATAATGCTTTTCCTTATTTTCTGTGTACTGTTACAATAGTGCATGCTTACATTAAGCACTGCAGAACCTTCAAACACTGAGGTCAATATATATGAAAGTTATCCCTGTGAGCCAAAAGCTCAGGCACCTCTAAATGTTTACTTTGAGGCATATTTTCTACTCTGGGCTCTGTAAAATGTCAATGACACTGGATAAACTGATGTGGCCACATCAGGCGAACAGCACTAGCTGTGAAAGACGGCCCCAACAATTCCTGTTCAAACGCTTTTAGTAGGGGTAGCAAATCAAAGAAACGCTGGGAAAGGAAAGAGGAGGGGAACGAAAGCAGCTTGTTTTAGACCAGTGACTGAACCAAGCTGAGGGGTTTGCACTAATCCACAGTATAAGATAAATACAGATTTTACAAAACTGTTACTGATGCAAAGCTACAATTTTAGAGTCCACGAATGAAAACAAGACTTTGGAAATGAGCATAAGGCAGAGGTGCTCAGTGTCCTCACAGGAGAAAAGGTTGCTGTAAGCTGTGGGCTCGCTTTATGGTGTTTGAATGCTCTCATTGTTTCTGTGCAAGGTTTCTCCAGGTACTCTGGTTCCCTCCAGTAGTCCAAAGATGTGTGTGTAAAGCTAACTGGTGATTCTAATCTGCTGATCTGTCCAGGATCAGCTGCCTCCCCCCCTACCCTTAAACCAAAGCAGAAAAG